TTTTAAAATGTGCAGAGAGATTTTCAATTTTGTTATATATAAGGTTGTGCTTTAATGGTCAAATGAAGAAACTTTCTGCTTACACTTCTAAATTTGGAAAAGAATCAAACTTACTTGAGAGAGTAACCTGGCAAGAAATAAAGATAGAAACAAGACCACGTGAGAGATGATTGCTGGCCAACCTCAAAGCAGGAAGCAAAATAGGAAGCCCTATTCACTGAAAAAGCTAGATGCTCCTGATCCCTTCAGTTGCCTATGTTGCTGTATGGACACTGCCTTCTCTTTCAGGACACCTTGGCAAGAACTGAGATCTTGCTTAGAGAAGCATAAATGGATTCTAAATTGCCCCAAATGGAATACTCTAATATCCCACAGAACATTTCTCTCCTTATCATAATATTAAGTCAAGTCCTGCATGCCCACAGCTACTCTATGCTGGCAGCAAGGCAATAAAGAAGAAAGTGAATAATAAAGGAAGTACGATCATCTCACAGTCTGAATTTCTCATCCCTCAAATCAGAGAAGTAACTGTCACTTCTGTGGCCTGCAAAGAATCTGCAGGTAGAAATGTATAGTTTAAAACAACTTGTATGTAATTCTGCTTTTCTTTTTCCCACAGATTTCTTAGTAACCTGTACAATTTTCTGCACTGGGGTCTCCCTTTTGGAGTGGTGAAAGCAGTAAGTACAGTTGCTGAAATGTAACCTCCTAGAAAAAAGTTGCTAGTCATTAATGACAATGTATGCATACAAATTTCACAGTGTTTGGATGCAGAATTTTGGTTCAGGCCTGGTTTTCCTAGTATATACATTTTAAGGTGTTTAGGGAAGGTATATCGTCTTTTGAAAAAAATCAGTAACTGTATAACAAATAAGTATCTCTAGATATAGGAAATGCAAGAATAGTTGTTTGCAATCTCACCAGGATTAAGTATTACACCAAACATGTTTCAAAATGCCATTTCTCATTTGACAAAAGGGAATGTCAGAGACTCCGCTACTTCTGAACTACTGTCCTCTGAGTTCAAAGAGGAACTGTTAAGCCCTGGATCTGTGCCTAAGCTTTTTTTTCCTGGTATCATCAAAAGGTGTGATCATCAGTCCCAGTTAAACAAGTCAGCACGTTCCACAGAATCAAAGGCTGGAATGGGCTTCAGGAGAGAAGTGCCCTGCTTCTGCTGGTGAGGTGCCATGTCACTTATGAAGGTCACATTGGCTGGGCTTCTCCTACTTTTCAACCAACAATTTGATACCAGGTTAAGGGCCATAACTATGCCTCCCTACATATTTTTCAGTATGCTGAGCCAATGTAGCAAACACCACAAGCAATGCACTTTTACAGAATAAAGAGTGCATTATAGTTATATATTAAACAACTTTTCATAGTAAAGGCAACTACTGGGAGCTTCTACACAAACTTAAACTTTAGATGTCTCATAACAATAAAGTTTCTGAAGACTGATATAAGGTCATTTTAAGAGAGAGATGGAACACAGATGGCTGGCATAAACCATGTGATCCCTACGAAGAGCACACTTAATTAGAGAGGAAAGAACTGTGAAGTGGAAGTGGATGTCTTGGGACAGCTATATCAGGTAATACAATGCTACAACAGTGAATGTTTCTCAATGATTGCACAGTACATCAATATGTGGCAAAGGGCAGTGCATAGGGCACCATCAGTATACTATACATAGAAACAAAATTGGACTGACAGAGCACAACATTTCTAAGAGTGCCTACATCATTAAAGGAGACCAAATCCCACTGATCTTGAACAAGGCTTAGATCATGCCACTATCTCCATATGATTGTCTCAATCCTTTTACTTGAAGCTGATACCAAATGAATGAGTTGGTTTGTGCAGAGATTGGTCGGGTGAGTATCCGCATTTGTGGTTGGAGTTAAGTGTGAGGGCTCTGTCCCATGCTCCATTTCATTGTGGAGACATACCCTTGAACTCCTTTGTTACTTACACAGTTCACCATTAAAGAAGTTGTAGGAATCTTCAGTGGAATCTAATCTGCTGATTAGATCATGCTATGCTTGTCAGATACTATGGAAGAAATAGGATATTTGCACAGAAAACAACTCAGCAGACATATGGGAATAAAGAAATGCCAACTATTCAGTAAGGCTTTACCTGCTATGCCTAATTTTGCAGAGAGATATGGAGAGAATGGAAAGGTTAAAAGGAAGGGCAACAAATATAAGTAGCTTAGTTCTTAAGTTCAGTTATGAATGGAAGCCATGAAAACTATGGAAAGCCATGAAAAGTATTTATTGCAAAACAGGAACTCGCACATCTGATAATGTTGCCCCTCATAAGTGTGAAATTCTAGAACAGACATCCCACAGGAAAGCTACTGCAGGAAAGGACTTAATAGAGGGCATGAATGAAGTACTGTTCTTCAAGGAGCAAGGGAATGAACCCAGCCTCCCAGGACTGTTTTTTTTTAAAATGTGAGACTCTCTTTAAAGAGGAAAATGAATTTCCAGTCAGATGGACCAGAATCAGCAACGATTTAGGGAAACATTTTTTTTCCCCTATGTTGTTGAGCAATGATTCAAAGGGACTGACTTTAATAGAAACAACTAGTGTGTGTTTAAGAAGTGATCAGTGGATAAAACTTAAACAATAAAGCCAATTTGGTATGGGAGACAGGTATGCATATAAAACATGTTATCTCATGTCACTAAATTAATGTTAAAAAATCTGAGTTTTCTGTTTTTACTGATGTCGGGTGCACATATATGAGGAAAAATGTCTGTTTGCTTTTTTGCCTCAATAAGCTGCACCACGGTTGTCGTTTGTTTGCGTAGTATCCATTCTTTTCAACCATCAATAGTGAAGATAGTAACTAATAATCCTGCAGAAGGAAACTTGTGTTTCTGTTCTGATCTTGAAAAAAACCCAGCCCAGTACATTCTACTTCTTGTGTCCTATTTTCTTTTCACCTTGCATGCAGCCCGTGAACCAGCACTCTCTTGTTTCATTAATGAAGTTCCAGCTCAGTCTTTCTTCCATCTCACTTTCACACTGATGATAATTTCTGCTCCCATGTCAGCCCTGCACAGCAATCACAGGTACTACTGCTGAGTGGGGGAACACTGAAGCATGAGGTCCACACCTAGATCAAACCTTGTGGATCAACAGCACAGGATCAGGATGTTAACCTCTTGGCTGTTAGCCTCCCAGAATGCAGGGAGGTCTGGTCACTATCTTTAAGTGGCCAAGGATGGTAAGCAAAAGGCACTTCCACTTACCATTATAGCAACTCTATGTGACTGCCTCTGTTACCTTTCCTGGCGGCTGTCAGGGATTGCAGACCATCACTGCTGGGTTCCCTTTCCCCTTGCTGTCACTGATGCAAGTGTTTGGGCCACTGCCTAGGGGAGATCTCTGTTACAGAGGTCTCTTCTGTCCTTTTTTCCCTTGACAGAATTGACATTCTCTAGGTCCATACATGGCTGTCGGCAAAGGAGAACGAAGAGTCCTTTCATATTCTTAACTGAGGCATCCTTATGTTGGGGAGAGATTTTCCTCAAACCCTACATCCTGTATATTCTGCAGGATGAGTTGAAGCCACACTCCTGGATGTGGCCTAAATGAAGGGGTCACTCTAAAGAGTATGGAGGCCTCAAGTCTCCTTCAGAACAGAAGGAACAGAGCTGGACTCCCTTGCTTATTCAGCAACTCCCTTTTCCTCACTGAGGGCCTCCATTCCTCCATAGGAGGGGCACAGTGCTGTGTGGTGAGGAGGAACCACAGAATCACAGATAGAGCTGAGCTTGGAAGGGACTTCTGGAGATCACCTTGTCCAAATCCCCTGCTCAAGCAGGGCCACCCAGAGCAAGTTCCCCAGAACTGCATTCAGATGAGTATCTCTGGGGATGGACACTCCACAACCTCCCTGGGCAACGTGTTCCAGGGCTTAGTCACTCTTACAGTAAAAAGTGTTTCCCGACGTTCAGAGGCAACCTCCCATGTTTCAGTTTGTGCTCACTGCCTCTGGTCCTGTCACTGGGCATCACAGAAAAGAGCCTGGCTCTGTCCTCTTTGCATCTTCCCTTCAGGTATTTGTACACATCAGTGAGATCCCCCCGAGCCTGCTCTTCTGCAGGCTGAACAGTCCCAGCTCTCTCAGCCTTTCCTCAGAGGAGAGATGCTCCAGTCCCTTCATCGCCTTTGTGACCCTTTGCTGGACTCTCTCCAGCACGTCCACGTCTCTCTTGTACCGGGGAGCCCAGACCTGGACCCAGGATCCCAGCTGTGGCCTCACCAGCGCTGAGCAGAAGGGAAGGATCGCCTCCCTCGACCTGCTGGCATTTCTTTGCCTAATGCTGCCCAAGGTATCGTTCACCTTCTTTGTGTCAAGGGCACGTTGCTGGCTCATGTCCAACCTGGTGCCCACCAGGGCCCACAGGTCCTTTTCCGCCAAGCCGCTTTTGAGCCTGGGGCCCCCCCAGCCCGTACCAGTGCCCGGGTTGTTCCTCCCCAGGGGCAGGGCTTTGCCCTTCCCCTTGTTGAAGTTGCTCTCCCCGGGTGTCCCCGGGCACACGGACCGCCTGTGCGCAGCTCGTGGGGCAGCGGGAGCTGCGGGGACACCCACCCAGGCGAGGGGAAGGCGAGGAAGACGTGAGGAGACCAGGGGAGCAGCGGCCCACGGGGGACGCCAGCCTGCGCTCCGGTTCCCGCGGCC